ACACTGAGCCCAGTGACAGCACACACTGAGCCCAGTGACAGCACACACTGAGCCCAGTGACCGCACACACTGAGCCCAGTGACAGCACACACTGAGCCCAGTGACAGCACACACTGAGCCCAGTGACCGCACACACTGAGCCCAGTGACCGCACACACTGAGCCCAGTGACAGCGCACCACGGCCTCCTCACCTTCCCGGGTGACAGCCGTAGCCAGGGAGCTCTCCATGTGATTGGCCAGCAGGGCTACAGGGGCATTGGCTATCCCATCAGCCACCACGATGGACACCAGGTGCCCCGCTGTGCCCACGGGATCCAGGGCCTCGGCCGCCTCGGAGAACAGCATGTCGCCGGTGGAGGTGGAGATCCTCAGCAGCACGCCGGGCTTCGTCTCCAGCGCCGCCAGCTCACTGTTAGCGGCTGGATAAAGACACAACATGAACTGGAACAGGCGCCAGGATCAGGCCGAACTCCATCTAGCACTTAGCTGCCATGAACTCGAGACAAAATGCTGGCAAATTTACAGTACGAGTCAGAGCCCAGCTTAGATGCTGCTAATGGAAGCGCCAAGAGGATCAACAACGCTCTGTGAATTTATGATTAATCTACTTAATGTAACTCCTATAAACATGAACTCAGAGAAGCAGGGAATTTGTAACAGGAGAGACCAAGACAAAGTCATCCCCAAGTTTCCCCAGTCTTTTCAGCTATCCCACTCAGCTCTCCATATGACAGATGGATACATACAGGTGGGGGCAAGGTGGGGGCCACAACACACGGTCAGCCAGCATGCAGCACCCCAAGAGAAATTAGAGGTAAGGGCCTTGCTAAAGGGCCCACTTGCATCACTCTGTCAACCATGGGACATGAACAAGTGACCTTCTGATCATGGGCGCAGAGACCCAACCCACAGAGCGACATGCCGCTATTTACATTTATTTACTCACACTTATTCACATTTCATCGACTGAATGGCTCTGATACATATTTAAGCAAGACATTCATCTGCTTATACTCCCAGACACTGTATTTACAGATTAAATACTCTGCCAAGAAGGAACTCTCGCCTGGGACTTCACCAAGCAAGCTTTGGGGCATGAGTCCATGCTCAACTATGCCACCTGCTGGCCAACTCAGTACATTTATCCCCCCACCTCATCACCGTCTGCCTGATACGTGAATGTAGGAGCCCAGATTCTGCTCAATGTAATCACTCTCATCACTGATTTATGTGATGAGGTAAAACAGAGCTTATAATGAGATCATTTTTTTTTTATGTATGGGCATCCTTTTATTTACATGCCCAATACTCAAGCATCTGAAATGAACCACTGCGTTTTGATCAGGTTCGTACCCGAGTTGCTCTCCATGAAGTCTTTCAGAGGCCCGAGCTGCGGCTGGAACACCAGCTCCCACTGGGACCACTCAGCCAGGTCCTCCAGCAAGGGGGCTGACACTAGGCTAGACAAGGCCTGCTCACGAGTCACAGCCCCCAGGAGGCCCACTGCTTCCATCACTCCACCCCTGGAACCAACAGAGAGCAGCCATGCGGCAGAGGCGGAAACGTCTTTCTCAATTCAGAAAACGTGTAACTCCTGGGAGACGTTCGGCACTGGCGTTCCCTCACCTGAAATCCCTTATGAAAAGCGGAGACTCGTAACGGACCGGACTCTCGCGGACGTGATCGCTCAGCCCTTTCTGACGACGCACCATGTCGACCTGAGTAGACAGCTGGCCGTATCCCAGATCCCGGCTGTCCCTCAGCTTGTAGTGGCTCCGCAGGGCGTGCTCAATGCAGGGGATCTACCAGGGCAGGATGCACACTGCATACAGCAAACTAACCCAGTGCACATTCTGAATTCCCACCCAGGTTAACAGCTTCCCAGCCTCTCACTTACCCTGTCTTGGTCCTCAACCCCACACTGCTTGATGAATTCATACACATCCTGCTGGCTGGGCCTGAAGCCACAGGAACTGTAATCTTGACTGCCAAGGTGAATAATGCTACCTCCAGCCTCCTGAAGCACCTGGGGACAGAAAACAATCAACTCCATCCAGCTTCAGTGAGGTCAGATTTTGGAGGAGTTTCGTTTTCTGAAACTACTCGTTCGATCTCGTAAACAGGCAATGGAACAAACACAGACAAACGAATAGAGTGTGTGGTGAAGGTACCTGCGCGTGCTTCACCAGGAATTCCAGGAAGGTGCCTTGTTTCAGCTGCGTGAACTCCCTGAATTTGAAATGGTCTACAAGCTTCTTCTCCTGCCTGGAAAGTAAGGCGAGGGAGAGCACTCCCCTCAGGCTAGAGAAGGACTCCTGAAAGTAGAGCTTGACAGCAGCTACAGGAAGAGAAGCAGATGAACATTACAGACCCCAATTACACGCAGCATGCAAATTTTAAAAGCGCCTGCTAAGTCCTTCATACTTAATTACAGCAGCAATGCCCCCCAACCCCACAAAACCAACAGGGAAATTTATAAATTTACCTATGAAGTGAAATAATGCAGTGTTACAGCTCATTCATTTCTTTTTAGAAAAATCAGCTGGGAGGAGACACACATTAAAAAATATATTACATTAAAGCAAAGCAACAGAGCATACCCTCACTAGGGGGCAGTATGGTGCTCTCCTCCTGGCCCTGCTTAATCCCTGTGCAGGACTTGCAGGACTTGCAGGACTTTTCTTTAGCAACCAAATCCTGGGGGACTTCGAGGGAGCCACAGCAGATGGCCAGCTGGAAGAGGGCTGTGGTCAGCCTGTCGCTCGACACACGCAGAAGGAAGTCCTGGACATACTGGAAATGGAGAGAGGCAAAGACCATCATTAACACAGAGGATAATCTCAGCTAGACTTTCAGAATGAGAAGGCAGCATAGCAACAGCAGCCCATTTTTCTAGCCTGGACTTACATGAAAGGATTATAAGCAGAACTATACTTCAGTTAAGGACCAGCGCAGTGACCTCTAGTGAACCCTCTGTGTAGGGGGTCAGGCTATGGGAATTATCACATGTAAGAAGCAGAAACCCTCTGACGACCAGTTCCTTTAGGGTTGTCACTATCGATTATATTAATAATCAAATAATCTACTGACTAATTTGATAAAATAAATGTGTGAATAATGTGTTATTTCTTAATCGCGTTAATGCACCAACGGTCTTAGGGTCTCATTTTGACAATGCATTTGTCAAGTTTTCTGTACCACATTGTTTATCTGCTCCGGTGATGGTTTTTGGTCTACAAATGACCCACTTTTAATATAACATAATAAAACATGATACTGCACGTCTTGTAATTGGTTCAAGACAAGAACAAACCTTGGATGGGGCACCAGTCTATTGCAAGGTGCACACTCACTCAGTCACACATATGTTCGAGTTAGGCACTCCAAATTACTTTGTATTTTTTTGAACAGTGGGAGGAAATCAGCGTAAACCCACTCATATACGGCGTGAACATCCAAACTCCACACATACAAAGCAGCGGTGTGCAGCGACAGCGCCACCTACTGTGCCGCCCTCAGAACTAGGCATGCACCATGTTAATATAAAAAAATAAAATAAAGAATAAATCAGTCTAAAGTTTACTGCCTTTGCTTTTGCATGAGCTCTGCATACATTTTCTGAGCCAATCATAATCATTTTCATACTTGTCATTTGATTGGCTCATAGATAGTGTGGCGCGCTTGTGACAAATTTAACAAAATAAGTGAGGAGGAGAAAAGCAAAGAAGAACTGATGACCGGGGACAGCTCTACATTCTTTCATTAATCGCCAACAAGACAGAAGGACGGACTGCAGAAACTAGGGGATAATGTTGATAGAGCTTTAGTGCATCACTCAGTGTCGTGACAATGTGCCCATGTTAGAGACTGTACCTTGGTCATCTTGGCGCTGAAGACACCCTCGGCGTTGGTAAAGACCATAAGCACGGCCTCCGCGGCGGTCTGGGAGACATACTTCTTCCTCAGCTCCAGACTGCCAACAGAGGAGAAGGGGACACTGGCCTGGGCTGGATCCAGGATGCTCTTCTTCATCTTCCTCATCTTATCTGCCACCTCTTCCTCAATCTCCCTCTGGAGGGTCACTTTGGCTCTGTCCATCATGAGGTACTCTGAGCTTCTCGCTTTAGTCAGGGTCTGGCCAGATGAAGAATGGAAATGGCGGAAATTTGAAAAGTGAGAAAAAAGAAGAAAATCTGCTTAAACCAGATGCTGCTAATACCTACCGAGATGGGTAGGCCAAGGCCCTGGATCCTAATCCCAAGCTTGTATGGTGAATCACAGTTATACTGGTCAGCAAGGTGCTTCAGAAATTCCACAAGATCAATTTTTGATTTGGAGCGTCGTCTCATAAAATCCCTCAGATTCTACAGGAAAAGAATTAAAAATTAAATAATGATAATGAAATTTGTTTAGTCAGTAACAATGTTCAACACATGTTCACAGCACACAGAGTTACGGTACATCGCTGACCTTCAGAATATCCACCGTCTCTATGGTGACTATATCGTCATCCCTGGTGGTGGCATCCACTTGAAAAATCCTACGGATAAGGGGGATTCTGCACAGTGGGCCCAGGTTGAGTTCTTCAAAGCGCTTCTTGTTCTTGAGGCCTGCCAGCGCCTGGCCCATTTCGTAGAGCGTGCAAATCGACTGCACGGCTTCAGCAGACTGCGCAGACGGAGGTGTTAGCACACAGCTCCATTACGATCTTATGGCACCGCTGTCATATATGCAGCCAGTCATTGACTGAAACATCATAATGTGGCGCATGACTGTATATTTATAATTGGTTTGCGGATAAACAAGCATTAAGCACTATTTTCTCCTTTTTTCGTAAAAGCAAAAATACTCTTCGGATTTCTTTCAGTTAGCGAAAACAGGTGCTAATGTAAGTCCTTCATAAAAGCAAAGTGTGGGATACCAGTGGTTTATCAAAATTGAGTAATAACAGAAATTGGGTCTCTTAGGACCTGGATGACTTTGTGACAAATTATCTTAAATATGCTCGGTTTTGAATAAAACAGAGTGTGAAAATTACAGTAACTATAAAATCCTTACCAAAATCAAGGCAAAATGGCACTTTTCTCAATTTCAGTGTCAATTTAGTTACCGTGTTTTGCCTTTGTAGGGCAGTATACTGAGGATACAAATATCCTGCAATAAACAGGCTACAGTTGTAAGGCTACAGACGCGTCACCTTTATAAACATGTCGACTTCCCGCACGGTTCGGTGAAGATCCATGACAGCTGGGAGCTGCCATATTGGATTAATTGGTCTCAAAGACTGAACCTGGTAGTATTTGCAAAGCCTGGATACGACCTAAAGAGAAGGGAAGACTGACTTTTACCTTTCACATCTCCAAGCACTGCTGCATAAAGATGCACCTAATTTAAAATGCAATGCAAACTATATGCTTTTTTAGTTTATTGCTTTGTGTCTTTGCATCTGAGATGCATATCTAACTAGAGTGGAGCCATCCAGAGAGGCAAGGTCGAAGCAACATGACTTGCAAGAGAGACACACCTTATCTACAGTGACCAGCTCCCCTTCGGCCGCGATGGCACGGATCAGCTCCTCGGCCCGGCTGTTCACTTCCTCCACGTTGGGCACCCGGCCACGCTTCCGCTCCTTGCAAAGCTCCTCGACCTCCTCGGTGGCCCGAACATGAGCCGAATGCTCCTCCCTCAGCCGGGAGTGGAATGCATCCCGGAACACTACAGTACTGTCCGCTTTTCTCGGGGCTCCCTGGGTCTTCGGTGGGTTCGACCCCAGCACCGGGAAATCGGAGTGTGACAGGCCTACGGGCACAGCGACTGCGGGGGCCAAAGCGACAGGGGGCAGACGCTGGATAAGCGGTATGCCACCTGCACAGAAAAGTAACAAATACAGCAATACCTGCATGTTAATACACAGAGTTACAATACACAACTTAAGGATATTGAGATTTTTTTATGGTGGGGGGAATAAGTGGGGCCATAATTCATACAGAGGGGCCAATTTCATTATTAGCCAATGGGATGTTTTGAATCGATGAGTGACAGGCGAGGGGGCACTCCAGGGGCCAATCAGCTTTCAGTTGGGGCTAGTACCCCGGTGGCCCCGCCCCTGCACACACCCCTGGCCAGACCATGTCGCATGACAGCATGCACACTTATCCCCAGTATTACGTACCGATCACTGCAGCAGCGCCTAATGGCAGCTGCAGCAAGGGCCCCTGGGCAACTGGCGGCCTGGCGCTGACAGTGTACCCTCCCGCCATGTTCGATGCGCCTGCTTCAGCAGATGGAGGCGTTGCTCTGTCCTTTGGGTTGGGCGCTCCTTGGGTGGGGTCAGAGGTTTGGTTTGATTTAAGAAAAACCACGTCATTTTTCAGGCACAGCTTGTCAGACATTACGTGAAGGAACGCGAGTACAGAGGAGAAGCCGAGCTTAGACACTTTCAGCTTTCTCCCATATTTCCGCTTGAATTCAATAGGCAAGTTGTTGATGGGGATACCCTTTGGATGCAGCTTTAGCAGATCTATGACATCACAACGGGCCTTCTCCATCTTCACGGCTGTGAATAAAAACACGAAGATTATCTAAACAACTGAGAAAAAGTATGTGTTATTTAATTAAAGACTCAGAATTCGCAAAAGCTCAGTCAGTTGGGGCAAGTGTCCCTGTGGCCCCACCCCTGTATATATCCTGAGCCAGAACCAAGTCACATGACATCATGACATCACATGACATCAACTGACATCACTTATCTGCAGTATTACGTACCACTCACAGCAGGAGAGCATGGCAGCAGCTGTGCACAGGCTCCCTGGGGACACAGCTGCCCAGTGCCAACAGTGTGCCCTGTCTCCATGTTTGCAGCACACTCTGCTGCAGATGTTTCACATAAAGGAACATGCAGGCCCGATGTGACTCCCTCCAGTGGGCTGGACGCTCCTTGGGTGCGGTCAGATGTTTGGTATGAGTTCAGAAAAACCACGTCGTTTTTCAGGTACAGCTGCTCACGCATAGTGTACAGAAACAGGGGTAGAGAGGAGAAGCCGAGCTTAGACACTTGGAGCTCCCTGTTGTATTTCTGCTTGAATTCAATGGGCAAGTTTTTGAAGGGGATGCCCTCTGGATGCAGCTTTAGCAGATCTATGACATCACAACGGGCCTTCTCCATCTTCACGGCTGTGAATAAAAACACAGACATTAACTCCCCTATACTGGCTCTCTTTCAACCTCCCCAGCATGCAGGAAAGTAAACACAACTAAAATTTCTCTTCGTGATGGACACCTGAAAAATTCTTTGCACACGTCAGCTTATTACTGAAGGAAAGGTGACAATAAAAACACTGACCTCGTTATCAAGTTCAAAGCATTTAACGTTTGAAAAGGACATTAACAACTTAAAAAAACACATTTTGTTTTGGAAAATTTGTGTAAACACAGTCAGGAGTGAAATGGTTCGTAATTTAACTGTCATCTCTGCATTTAAATGATAATTCTTAGTAACCATAAGAACCCAACCCCACAGAAGTTGAATCAATACTCATAATGTGTTGGGGACATTAACAGGCAACAGCTCATTGATGACATTTTGGAAAGAGATATTTTGAAGAAAATGCTAATTTGGCTTAATGAATTGCATAAGCAGACCATGATGGTCTTATTCCTGAAGGAAGTATTTATGGTTCCAGATAATTACTAAACAAGATGACTGCACAGTTTGCACAATGTTAGTCTGTATTCAAATATTTAAAAACTTGATTAGGTACTATACATACATATTTGAAAGATATACAATTTGAAATTAAAGGCTACATCAACAATAATAGGAAAGACATTCTATCTAATATTGTCCGAACAACCCCTTGAAATAAAGACTGAATTGGTACCTTGTATCATCAAATAAAAAAAAAAAGTATATTAAGAACACAGCAAACAAGAATTGAGTGTGTATTATAACGTGTAAGGATATGGGGTGTGCGTGCTGCAGGCATTTTACATTGTCTGGTCCCTAAATGACCCAGACATATATTTACCAGAACAGAACAAATGAGAGCTAGCAGCAAAATAATTAAAGACCTTACGTAAATAAAAACAAAAGACCTGAAAGTCATGATCAGTGAACAGCATAACCTCACCAAATTAATGTGGAGTACATCATTATTTGTGAGATACCAGGTTCTCCGACAAGGAACTTACTGATAGGTGCCAGCCGGCAGATCACCGAAACTGCTACAGAACTCATTCAACGTAAACAAACGGTCACGAATTGTGCCAAAATATTACTTGTCCTCCAAAACATCCATTGTTATTGTTCGTACATCTTAGGACCATTGCCAGTTTTATACAAGACAAGTGAAAACTTATTAATCTGAACATTTTTTAAAATCCTGTCAATAATATGAAAGATCAATAATAGAATAAGAGAAAAATTATAATGCCATTATTCTTCTTTCAGCCCAATATTATGCAGCACCTGATATAAATTTTTAATGTTAACATTTACCTTACAAATGCTCAGTGACTCCAAAACCATATGTTTATTTCTTCCTGGTATTATCTCATGTTCAGTCCCGATGAAGAGAGCTGTCCATGAAAATACTGAGGCATTTTACTCTGCTAGTGACCTAACACTGCCCTCCCCTTTCTGGGGCAGCCAGCCAATAGAAACCGCACACAGTGTCACCTGACCAAACAGAAACTGAACGAAACTTAGCTCTCCGTTTCCAAGGAGCACATGCACCATGGCATCTGCAGCTCTGTGAAAAACAAATAGCTAAAAAAAAAATATCCACGGGCAATTCATAGTTCGGCCATGAAAATAGCTGACAGCCCTCAGCTGTGAGAAAGCTTGTTATCGCTGCACCTCTGCAGCCCATGTATACAACTGACTAGGATCAGTTTCAAGCTGACGCACATGAGAAACAAAACTAGAACTAAGAGTTATCAGCTGGGAGTAGAGAAGAGGAGCTTTAAGTTTCAGTTTCCTGGGTTATGTAAAAAAAAAATCAGCTGACGCACCCAGCTGCAAACAAGGAGGAAGACTGAAAACAATCTGATGGGTTCGGCTCATTGCCGCAATATAGTCAAACATTCTTGCTCATTCAAGGGAACATATTAAAGCACGAACTACTTTCACTTTCATTTATCAGCCTCCACGTAAGACAAATAATACAGACAAAATATTTGAATATATTTACCTTTGGACTCACCAGAAGGCTTGCGGTTTGTTTTTGATTCCTCCCTTAAATCACAGAATCCACCAGGATGACTGTCGCTTGTTCTTTTGAGCACGTTCTTGTCACGAACGCGCTCCACGTGCACCCGGTCCCCCAGCAGCACCAGTAGCTGCTCGAGACCCCTCAGGCCATACCTGGACAGGATGAGTCGACGCCCGTACAGCTCTCTGTACCGGCTGCGCAGTTCTGAAAGCTCCACGCCCTCGGGGGTATGGCCCAACATAGCGACCACTTCCCCACACAGGCGCTGGAGCAGAGCATCTGTGAATGTGTCCCCACAACAAGACAACAAAAAATTACCTCCATGTATGATTAAGCACCTTGTGCTGGTGCTTTTTCACATGCCAGAAGGGACCAGTGAAAAATGACTCTGGCAGAACTTCAGCGACCAGCAAACCCTGCATCGCTGTTATTAACCGAAAGCTGAGCACCAGCTCTCATCATAGTGGTCTGACACATAAATAATTTAATCTATAAAACTAATGTTTCAGGAAACCATGATTTGCTTAATGAATGCTGGTTAGCTACTTGCCTACTTTCTACACACTTATATGGAAGGGTGTGGACCTTCCTTTATCACGATACTGCGTTCATATGGAAAATTGAATTTTAAGCCCAATACACATAACAAAGAATATGTAAAATAATAAAATGACCTATAATCAGTGTACTGTTTATCATTATTATTTCTTATTATCCCATGACTCTTTTCAATCTGGCACCCATCCACATCACAGTACTGAGTCAGCACTTACAGTATAACAAGTAATAAAAGACCTTGTGTTGCTGGAGCCTAGTGCGGATTCTGACACAGCTGACCATAAAATACTGCTACATAAGTTACAAAAAACTGGGTAGGCCTATCAGGTACAGTCCATAAATGATGCAAATCAGACATAGAAGGCAGGGACAACTTTGTCACTATAGGTAGTTATGAGTCCATCAAGAATGACTTCTGGAGCCCCTTATTTAACCCATGTGGCCAAATTCTGAAAATGACCTTTGTGTATGAAAATGTGCTATACAAATAAACTTGATTTGACTGGTGATCCTGTATACTGGGTAAGTTGTTCTGTGTCTGGATTACTTAGCCAAAAACTAGCTAGCATTTTACAATATAACCACCTAAATTTATTTGCTTTCCAGACTTACAAAGCTCACAGTTGCTACTTTTTCACAACAATAGCTTAATGATTTACAAATAAAACACATACCAAAGGTGCAGTATGTTACCAAATCTAAGTCCTTCTGGGAAGCAGGTCAACTGTTCTTAACTACATGAGTTTCATTACACCTGTAACGGCACTTTTCCCCTGAGATTTCAAACAGCAGTCAGTCTTTGGAGTGTGTGACATCCCTCAACCCCTACAACCAACTGGCAGTCTACAAAGCCCATAAATTAAATGTATAACTGCGTATGTAATACTATTCCCTTCAGAAATATGTGAACGTATATAAAAAAAGATTTTTTACGGCATCTGTTCATAGTAAAAAGCAAATGTGAGAGCACAGAAAATGGTATATGTTTGTATTAACGATCTCACCTTTTTCATCACATTCGGCTGCATGTGACTTTGTTTTTAGCAAGGGACGGGGTGGTAAAACAGATGAACAACGGCCCGGTTTTACAGCCCACTGGGCGGTGAGCTTGTCTGTCATGTTTTTCGTCAACCATGTGCAGTCGGGAAGGGCTGTATTACTACACTACGGGGTATAAGTTTAAAGTCTACCCTAAATAACACTGGCATCCTGACCCAGCCGAAGATTAAAAATACTCGCCCGTCGGGATCTCCATGATGTCTGTCTGGAATAAAAAGAAAGGGGGAAAATATTTTGTCGTTCAGTCATCTTGCGCTCATGGTTTCCACACAAAATATACGCCGCACTGTAATTCTGTCTGCGAAGCATAACACAGGATCGAGCCTTATGGAGAAATTATCGTTAAGAGACAGCTGATTTATAATTTTACATTGCTACTTATCCAAAGCTTGGGGATTATTAATAACAAAGTGTACCTGTAGCTATTCTATTGTACGTATTATAAATAAATCTGGCGAACGATCTTAAATACAACGATGCACCTCCTAGGAGGAGGGTGAATCGACACCAAATAATAACAAGAGCCCAGATATCGATAGACAGACATCCCATTGCATCATCCATGAACGCCTCCATCGTCCTTTTCTACACCCACTATCGTCAAATCCTCCACAAACTAACCGGGATGCTTCCCATAAATTTTAAACTCGTTTCACAAAATCGGTCATTACTTCAAAAGTCAATTGCGCTGCACATCGACTCTGTACAAAAATCAAATATTTATATATAGGTTGACAAATTAATTTTGCGTGAACAATAAGTGATCCGCCTAAAAGGAGAACATTTATCATTACGCCGCTAGCTACCTCAAATCCGAATGGAGCCCTGGTCCAGCTTCCTATAACGGCCAAGGTCGCTGCTGCCTCCTGCTGTACTGGTGGGCAATTACAACACCTACGGAGCGCCATACGAATAGGTATAACATCAGACAAATTACATATACATTCTTTATAATAAACACAAAACGGAATGACTGAGAGCTGATTTCAGTTATAAACAATTACAATAGTGCATTATAATCTTTACCAACTGAAATATTTTAAAGTGTATTTAAAGTAAGGCATTCATGTCAACCTAGCTGTAGTGAAAACAGTGATAGGTGATAAAGAGCATGTACAACTGGATGAAAACAGTGAGATGGGTGATAAAGAGCATGTACAACAGGATGAAAACAGTGAGCCATAAAAAAAAAAGGGGGGGGGGGGAAGATCTTATACGTATTGCTGCCCTGAAGTGAAAATCTTGAAAATCTTCTTGTTACACTGATTGCACGCTGTATTAAAAGTTCAGTCAAGAGGGGAATTAAGTAATCAGTCTCCAAACAATAAATACCAAAACACAACAACAGTTATTTTATTGCAAAGATACATTTTGAGCTATCCAGTCTGGTCACATTAGGAAAGGTTTAAAAGATTGTTCAACAGGTACTTGCACACATAAACACGCACACACGGACATTTGTAAATGTAATTTCCAATCAACACTGTTTACTGGTAACAATGAAGGGCTTCTTTTGAAATTTACACAAACATTCTACTTATGGTATTTCCAGTTTGACAAGTTATTTACATTTCCTGTGTGCCTGTATGGATGCATTCATCTATATTGACCAAGAGCATACAATTATTGACAGAGAACTATGACAATGCAGTGGATAGTAAAAAAAAAACAAGGTAAAGTGTTAAATGGCAAAATGAGAATACACAATAACAACCCTCAGCTGATCTGGAGCCTCAATATTGATTTTCTAAAAATATCTTAACAAAACATTTAATTTTGACAGATACAGATAAGTTAAACTCATCATTTAAATTTTGTTTTTATGTGAAGTGATTCTTGGTAGATGCCTAGATGACAGGGCAATAAAACTAGCAAGGTAAGCTCTTTCTGTACCAAAGTACTGAAAGCCGTTTGTTTTTAAAAGAAGCTCATATTTTAGCCAGTATTTTAAAGCTTAATTTTAAAGTACCCCTTTGCCCAAAATCAATTGTACATCTGACTATATTACCCAAAAATGCAATTTCAGGTACAAAAGACACTTTTAGTGCTGCAATCTATTTCACAATACGGGGTTAAAAATCACTAGGTCAGAGGCAATTGGAGAAGTGTTGCCTCACTGTGAGGCACTAGTGTACTGATTTATTGTTTTTTCCCTTAAAACAGTAGAACACGTTTTAATTTATCAATAATACTACGGATAATGTTCTGACATAAAAGATATAAAACACAGATTAAGGTGTAAATCCTGCCATGGCCGTAACTGAATTTCACTTTACCCATCTTCAGCTGTATCAGGATTTAATAGTATTCTTCATAACTGAAATAATCTTTCAGTTACACATTAGGTATACTGACATATTGCTATAGCTGTATTAAATACAAAGTACATTTTATATTGTACAGATAATATATTATTTATACAGTAATATATTGTAGTTCAGATGGAAAGGTATCAAACACAAGAAAGGCTGGTTCTTTAGGCTACAGCAGAAATTATGCAAGTATTTTTGGCTTCTGCTCCGTCTTCGAGATTGGATTCCAGGTATGTCCCGGTGTCCCTGATGCAATCAAAGCAATCCCGTGAAGAATTTCATAATTCTGGATTCATAATTACATAGTAGTATTTCATGTTAAGTTTCAAAAACTTGAGCTTTTGGCCACAACTTATAAAACCCATAAGATGCAAAGGTTGAAATGAAATTAAATGAAAGGCAATGGTGTTCTTAAGTGAAGCAGACCGTGGAAAAAACACAATATCCTCTTTGAGAGAAGACGTTTTCCTCCAGCAGTTTATTAACCCAAGTGTCTTTAGGGTACTTCCCTAGGGAACTTGAAACAGTCTATTATCTTGACATTTTCCTTTGATAACAAGACACCCCCCCCCCCCACCAAGTCTCCAAGAGCATTCGCTGGTCCTTGACAGTTGGAAGTCTCATACACACACACACACACCCCAACCCCCCCTCAGCATTTAGCAGGCGAGCTCCTGCTACACAGCTCTGATTTAGCTACCAGCAGTCGCAGCCTGTCCCCTGCCGTCCGGATGAGATCCCGACCACTGCAAAGGGAAGCGATGTGTGAAAACCTTTGAATTATCGGTAGCAATTCTACTTTATTCCTGGACTGATGGGGGTCCTTACCTGGTGTAGTCCATTCCCACCAAACTCAAGCCATTGACAGCCAGGATGCGATCGCCCTGACTCAGTTTCTGACACTGAGCAGCGGGAGATTCCTGAACCACTGACTTGATATAAATCCCACTCACTTTCAGTGATGTTTTCTATGCAAGGGGAAAGTAAAGGAAAAACCGTTACAATTAACCAACATTCCTCATAGAAAAGCCACATTACACACGAAATAGAAGACTATCAGAGGGTGACAATTACAGTTTTTCATCCAACCAGCAGATGGTGCTGTTTGTATTCAACCTTGTGGAAACGTCACAGAAAAAGGACCAGCTATATTATGTGATTTTTTTTTTTATCACAGGCTGTAGGCCTAAATAAATGCAGGCTTAAATCACTATCACATTGTACTTTAAGCTATGTAGCCAACGTACTGTATCTTAAAAGAGTAAATATCTATTTTCAGGGGAGTGGGACATAAATATAAACATGAACAACAATGTTAGGTCAAAATAGGGTAGAAGAATTAATCCTACAGAGATCCCGAAATAATTTGTCATTTTGGGTGTAAACTTCAGTTTGACTCCCCTGACAGTCCATCTGGGGTGTACCGTGCCCTGTACCCTATTCCTATGGCAGCAGGCTTTGGGACGTCTTAGCATTAACAGGTAAAGTGATTCATAGAAATGGGCAGACAGATTTGGGCAGTTCAGCATCAGCTTTTTCTCATGACACTTGTCTGTGACGTGCGCAGCTTTAGTATTCCGCCACACCGCTTTGGCCCAGAGTGGAAGTTAAATTCAGCTTGCGATGGTATGGACCATGGCCACAGAATTCCTGGGTGAGGTCTATGAAAATGCAGTGATGACAGCCTCATAAAGGGAGGCTTGACAAACAATGGCAAACACGTATCTTGTCGAATTCCACTGAACAGGTATGGACGTGGGTAGACGCCGATGAACACACGTCATTGCTGTGACACTACAAGCGCCACCCCTAACGATATCTGTGGTCAATTTCAACCACTATCAGTATTACTCTGTTCCAAAGCTCTCCCTGTGTTCAAGCTATCAGGCCCCAATACATAAACACCCCAAGTTTAAAGAGAAAACGAGGAAGAAACTCGCAAACCATTCCATCCACAAGGGCCAAACCAAGACCATGGGGACCCCTCTGCAGCTCCACGGTAAACACTTCTTCCTCCTCATCTTCCTCTCCTTCACTCCTCTCAACACAGTGAGAAGTATGGCTGTCCTCTGAGGATGACAACAAACAACATATTTGTAAGATATGTCAAACTTTAACTGGTTACAATTACAAGAAAAGATTGCATCTTATCAAAATACAATTTACTGATCAAGAAGGAATATACAAGAAACATGGACGACATTTGTTCTGAATTAGAACAGAGAAATATTTTAAATGAGAACACATTTTCTTTTTTAGTACTCTAATATACCGCATGTGGTGGAGACTAAGAAATCAAGGTAATATTCAAGGTACCCCTAACCAAAGAAGTAGTACATTAGGAGGTAAGGAGTTAGTACGGGTCAGTGTCTGCTGCTGAAGCACTGGTTAATTCAACAGGAACCAGTATGGCCAACTGTCTGCCATGTCATGATAATGCTGATACGCTTATGGTCTGACACCGGACCCTTGCTTCTTGGCCCCGAACAATGTGCGTCCCAATTAGGATTCCACACGCCAAGCCAACTGCAAATTCCCATGGGTGCCTGGGACCACGGTGCCCCCCCCACATACTGCCACCGGCCCCCACTCCCCTGTACCAGATTAAGCGATTATCTATACTAAGGAAGTACTCCTACTCAATAGCTTCAAAACTGAAATCTACCTGAGGAACATTTCATGTTAGTTACATATAGTGGACTGTCCCTTACTGACCTGATGCCTCTTTATGTTCTGTGAATGCTGTTATGTTGCATTCACAATTTTGTTGTTATTGTTCTGACCCCCGAGTAGTCTTATTGGGTTCTTACTTTAAGTTTTTGTGTAGTTATTGTGCAACTCCAGCTACAATGCTGCTCACATTTCTAGCGTGAATGTTTGCGAAGAGCCTCATTTATACGTTGTTTTGGACAAAAGCATCAGCTAAATATATAAATGTAAATGTACGGTAAAATACGTTTACCAAAATCACATGATTATTTTTATATACAAATTGAATTGTTTCCAAAATATTTCGCCTCTATACCCTGTGAAGTCCACAATGGAGGAAATACCCAAAAAATGGATTTATCGAGAGAACCAGTGAGTCTTCTTTCGGAAACTCTAAACATGTTAGTTCATATATGACACCGTTTAAATGGCATTTAGCGACTGTGATGCCAAAGCCGGCCTTTTGTACTCCAGCTCTTTAACGTGCCCTTTTGTACACCAGCATAAAGTTCAAGCTTGTGTTTTGTAGGGAAGGTGCCGCTCCCCGCCGGCAGCTTTTCACTCACATGCGGCGGGAGAGGATGCTCACTGTGCCGCGGTGGCACTGTAACCGTCTGTAGCCTATAAAGTGGCCCGTGAGGATTACAATGGCCACGTCTGGCCTGTATCCTGTTCAGCGTGCTCCACAAAGCCCAGCCAAGGCGCACGCACAAAAGAAGAAGGGGAACGGAGGATGTAAACGATAGTTTAACATGGCTGTCCTCTCTTTCAGAAGGAAAAGAAACAAAGGGTGACTGTGTGCTTGTCGTTTCAAGCAGTCGGTCTCTCCAGTGCATTATCCTCCTGACTCCTTTCTTGGCTTATCATGTATTGTAAATAATCCCTCTTCCTACGTGGATTATCTGTCATTGCCCACGGTATGTGTGCATTTAAATGCAGATGATGGATGGATGTTTTCATATGAAATAATAGGAAGCAGCATAATAGATACTGGTTTTCTACTGGCAATCCACCAAAATGGTTGACACCTGGATCTGATAGAGAGATATATTTCAGCAGGTCTTATTGTGAACAATTAATAAATATAGTAATGCACCCAAAAGGGCCGAAGTTCAAGACATTTTGGGAAATACAGAAGTAGAAAAATGAATAATTATTGCAAGAGAATAGAAGTCATGACCAACACAGAAGAATCAATGCTCTCATGAAACACCCCAAAGACAATTGTTACATTCACTTCACGGACACAGTCTCTAAACACCACTGGTTCACCCTGTTCCATTACCTTCAGCTTTATGATGAATGAGTTCTTGGCTGGTTCCCAGTGTGTGCAAGACAGCCTCAGCCTCTGCCAGCTCCTGACCTTGAGGTGTGTTGGGTGGAGTTAGCAGACAAGAGGGGTCCAAGGCCAGGCGTTTACTGCAGCTCGGGTCTGCGTCTGTGCAGAGGCTGTTCTGCAGCTCCAGATTCTTTAGCTTATAGGTCAGAACTGCCTCACAAGAGGTCAGATCCCCAGTGCCAGTGCTAGGTGCCTTTGACATTTGGTCTGGGGGCTCTTCTTTTCTTGGGGCGGCTCCCGTTTCAGAAACATCTGCCTCCACAGAGGATTCTGGAGTTACTGCCTGGCTTCGCTCCACTGGCTTTGAACAGAGAGACCACCCCGCATTCAGTCCAGTGAAGTACTTCATTTCTCACACACTTAGGTCAACTGCAAACCTCAGCAAGCTAGTGTGTCCGTTTGACAATTTGGTCATTCCTAACAGAACAGTTACCTGCAGTGGTTTCTTGGGGTTGACAGATGACACTCCAGTATGGAGACTCTGGATGATGTCCTGCAGTTTACCCAACTGCATGCACAGACTGGAGTGTTTGATGGACTTCCCCAGCTCTAGATGAAAGCTGGTGCTTGGTAGGATTAGGGGTGGATGGTTATCGAAACTCTCCAGGACATCAGCTGTGAAAGGAAATGCAGTCAACAGTTTGCAACCATTAACGGCGAGCAACCATTAAAACCAACGCTTTGGTTTTCATCAAACTGTGCATGTTTAAAAAACCTGTTAATTACTTTGCGTAAACCAAAATGGCTATTATATTTAACTGCCTTACAAGTAACAAACAATACACCAGTATGCCCAGAAGACAACCCAGCACACTGGAAAGGAGATGAATACGGGCCTCTGTCTGGCAGGGGGGGGAATCTGGCAGAAGGAATGGAAAGCTAAGCCCTCCTCAGTGGCAGAGGCTTGGTCATACCAGGCACAAAGACACAGAACTCCTTCTTACCACATTTTACAATTGCTTAAGACTAAGCAGGAGATACAATACAGGGTTTTGATCCACCAAGAGAACAGAGATACTGATTCTTAAAAATCCTTTAAATGGGTTACTTTATGGATGTTTGAGTTCTAGTAGTGCAGAATTGAGAATAATGTGTGTTCACAGAGGAATATCCCAGGCGTAGCTGGGTAAGTGCAGTGTCTCTCACCAGTACTCTGTGCTGCATCAGCTTCGTCTGGAGTGGGATTCCAGCCAGCCGGGCAGACCCTTCCTGGGTCATACTCCATCAGTATGTGGTGCAGCTGCGCTGGGTTCAGGTGCAGAAATTCCCTCCGCAATGAGCTCCACGAGGCCTACAGACACCCCAACAGAGAATACCAGCCATTGGCCATGGCGAAAAGGGAAAGTAGATTCTAGAGGATTCTCTACATTCTTGACAACAATGAGAGACAGGCTTATATGCACTCAGTGGACATTATGCAAAGATAAATCTCACAAAATGCTTAATACTGTAATTTCCATGTTTCTTGCCACTGAGTCAAGGTGAGATTTTTACAGTAGCAGGTTGGCATGATGATGTAACAGAGGGTGGGAAATGGGTATAACATGCAGCAACAAAGGAGGGCTGGAGCAGCGTGGGAGTAGGAAGTGAGGCAACTGATGACTTTCAGCCCACTGAAGGGGAAATGGAAAATGCGAAGGAAAACACCACACTTAATGTAAAAAATAAATTATTCCAATTGCCCTCACGATTGCACAATTTCTTGATGCAAAGAAAGAAAAACCAAAATGGTTTCCTTGAATTATTTTAAGCTGTTCAAACAAGGTTGAGCCAGTAGCAAGTTTTCCATGCTGTACTGCGGCTTCAGTCCATGATCTGCGTAGTTTATTCCCTTCAACATACCTGAACCCCATAGAACACAGATATACAGAAAGAGCCTTAAAATCTCAAGTACTGAAGCAGTCAATGAAGCACTACATCTGACTTACTCTTCACGTTCCAAGAGAATAGGTAGCACCGACAATAGATATTACCCACAATAGGTATTTTTGTATATTCAGTCTGCCCCTTACTTACTTAAACTTCACTAAAAATCACTATATTACTTTGATTTGGTAAACATTACTATATGTTTTTGGTTTGTAAAATATTTACGCTAACTCTTTAATGTTTACCTGCAAGCATAAAAAACACCAGACTGAAACACATTAGTGCAGCATCACCTGCTTGTATTGTTCTTTGTGCCAGCAGCTAAAAAAAACAAAGGCTTGAAAAAGCAACATATTAACAGGTGGATGATATAGCAGTGGAACATCTGAAAGGGTGTGACAGTCCGAGAGCATGTGACAAACAATAAAAGAGGTTAATGACAGAGCAGTATCACGCAAGCACAGCACCACCAAAATGTCACCCCTGCACCAATTCCTCTCAGTAGCACTGGCATTCAGTCCAATCACACAATGCCTTCATAACATACTGTATATGACTGTAAGCTATGCAGTGTGAGCTTCTGTGAGGGCACAGTTAATGTCATTGCTACATTATGGGCAGAGGAGAAAACCAAATCAATAAGAACCCGAAAGTAATATGTCAACTCAAGTTTCATCATTAACGACTGAATTCTGCTTAGGTTTGAATTAATGTGGGTTCAAATCCTGCTCTTGCTCTATATATGTGTGTGTGGGGGGGGTTTAGGTTTATATTACATTATGGGGACCAAATGACATTATGACCAAATGATATTTTGATGTTGTGGGGACTGTTCTTCAGGTCCTCACAAAGGTCTGTGAATGCAATCAAAAATCTAAAAATGCCGAAAATCTTGTATTTTGTTTGGCTCCTTATGGTTAAGGTCAGGGCTGGGTAGGGGTTAAGGTCATCATGTTGGGATTAGAGTTTTCCCCATAGAAATGAATGGAGTCCCCACAAAGATATAATTACAAACCTGTGTATGTGTGTGTGTACACATACCCTGGCATCCTGTACAGGGTGTCCCTCTGCCCTGTGCCCTATGCTGCCTGGGATTGGCTCTAGTCCCCAAGCAACCCCGCACTAGAGAAGCATCCAGAAGATGGATGGGTGTGCATAAATGCCTGAATACAATTCAACAAATAAATAAAATGATGAATAAGCCTTTTTACAGTATATTGTTCCTCTATATCGTGACTGTGATAAAGGTCTTTTATTATTAATTGCTAATGACCCGGAAAAGCCTGTGGTGTTTGGGTGACAGCCATCTAAATCATCTGATAGTATTCAGACCATTTTTGGAAAGGAAAGAGAACTCACACCCAAAAACCCTCGCATTTCCCCTAGTAAGCGGGAATAGCTTCTACGTGAGATCATGACCTGCCGGCACTGAGGTCATGCTCACACTCAGTATCCTCCTTTATTCTGTGATTAACAAAGGAAGGGCGGGACCTCGGCCGCTTGCAAATATTACTGGGTAACAGGTTTGGGGAATCGGGGTTGTGGTTTATCTGGGACACATCGTAAGCAGCATGTATCAGTGTCATCAGAACAATTCAATAGAATAGTAAAACTTTCACTCACAGTTTAGTCCTTATTTGCAAAAACTCGAGTGTAAACTGTTTAATGCAGAACTTCTGGTGTTTTCTCTTTGCTATAAACCATTCTGTCTGCAGCACACACTGGCCAAACCCCATTCTCTTATTTAGGGATTATGAGAAACAGCACAAGCTGCTACGTCCAAACAAAGCCAGAAATCCTTAATGCCTCACAGTGTATCTTGGCCCAACTGCATTGATAACATGTAATGCATTCCGCATTGGTTCCAATCCATATTGGTATAATAAATAAATATTTTCAGTCTTCAGTGTATAGTAAGAAAATAAATACTTCATGCAAATTCTTTGGTGTTTTGTAAGCACCAGCCAAGTCGACAACAATGAGAATTACTGCACATGTTTGTGGTTCCATAACTGCAATTCTATGGAGCTTTCGGCTGCCAAAATGCATTCAGATCTAGGGCAAATGACAAATGTTTTTAATCATTTAAATGGGTCTGAAACATGTTGGATTAGAATTTTTCTTGATTGGTCCCATTTTTTGGGGGTTTGTGGGTTGTTCTTAAGTTCTTAAAAGATGAAAGCAAAACAAATACAGCATGGTGTTCGCATTAGGGGAAACTGAAGAGCGAATATGTCACACACTTCTGCTAAAGCGCATTTAACTGATTACACAACACTGTACCCATACAAATCTAAATCCACACAAGAATCTGGGTATTGAAAAAAGTCTCCCAAATCTTTTGCTTATTTTTGTTCAGACATGGAAGCAAACATCCTAAATACATCCTTTTTCACTTCAAAAACAATACATTGATATTTAAGTGTCAAGAAAAACGAAAAATGCTATATAAAACAGTTTGTAATACTATCTGCATTTTGGGAACTAAGTACGGTTTTGAGGATTTCTTTTAAAAAGTGCGGTGGAATACTGTTCATGACTATTCCAAGTAGAACCTAGGAGACCTATCTGTATAATTACAGTGCAGTGTGCAGTGATGTGAGCCTTTAGCTTATAAGTTAGCTTCAAGGCAAGGGGTCTTCACTGTCTAATCAGGGACTTTCAAAAATGACATAGAAACATTGTATAGAAGAAAAAGACAAATGAACACATCCAGAGTAGAGAATGATGCTTTTCTGACCTGCAGCAGGTACTCCTTGGGTGTGGCCAGAAGGTTGACAGCAGAGGAGAGTTTCTGGAAGAAGTCCAGCGCTAAGTCACTCAGCCCGATGCCCTGTACCCAGTCCATAAGGAGGTCCAGATTAGCCTGGATCTGAACCCCTTTTGACCACTTGTAAAATCCACCTCCAGAACCTTTACACGGAACAATGTTGCATGAGTAATTTCGCTAAATTAAAATAAACAACTACGTCTTTGAGGAACTCAACAGACGCCAGTTGTTGGTAAGGCTCCAGAAATCCAGCAATGGAGTTTACACTCACCTCTCTCCATCAGTGCATTGAAGAGTGAGGCATTGATGAAGAAGAAGAGGTAGGCAAAAAGCTGGGAGGTGATCTCTGAGTGCACCTGGAACGAGTTGAGCAGCTGCAGGGTCTGCTTTAGGATGGCCAGGACACTGCTGACGCCCTCAGGATCCGCCAGCTGTCCACTCTCTGAGAAGGGGTTACTGTCCAGCAGGGCGGGCAGGTCTGCATAGAGAGTCTGGAGGAGGAGAGGGATGAGTAGAGACCAGTGTCTCTACAGGACTCTACAGCAAAGGAGCAAGTTTCTTCCATGTTCCTGTTAATCAGGTCACTACTTTGCTCTTAGTCTTCTTACTAAATATGACTTTAATATGTATTAATAATTAACTTTACAGCCCTTTGAAAAATAAATTGACATGAATGCTTCTGCTCTACAAACACAACCAACTCATGCTGCCTCTGCTGTTACAGGTTCATGAATTTTTGATGTGAGAAGATATGAATGTATTAAAATTTCTATGCGCTATAGGCTCCCAGGCTGGGGGATCAAACCCCACCCCCAACCTGCGTGTTTGCATGCTCTGCTTCACTCACACAGTCCAAAGACATGCAATCAGGCAAAATGCTTCTCTAAACAGTCTATCTTTTGTGGGCATGTGGTCCCTGAACTGGATTAGCATCCTGTACAGGGTGCTGCCCTGCTTAGTCCCCTGCGCTGCCTGGGATAGACTCTAGGTTCACCATGACCCTGTACTAGACAAGTCGTCTGAAAGATGAATGGATGGAACTTAAAGATCAAGGCCATTTTGGGAGTAAAACAGCAAAAATTACAAGTTAAAGAGCAGAAATGCACTGTAAAAACAGCTTACTGAGGAATTCTGTGAAGTACCCGGCCTTCCGATTGCTGAGTCCAGGCAAAATGAAAAAGGACAGGCTGACCTTTCTATAGATCCATAAATCCAAGGCTAAATTATCCTCAAGCAATAGAGCCTTGTGTTTCTGCTACTTTCTTTCCCACTACTAAGTTCCAGCAGCCGTGGTTCTGTCCTGGCCAGAAGACGGGCAGCTCCGGAGGTTCTGCTTCTCTTTCCAGCATGCAAAAAACAATTTATAAGCTACGTGCTGCACATACATCCAACTGCCTGCCACTGTCATTTTTCAAAATATACGATTGTTTTTTGAAGCTCTCCAAAGCTAACTTACAGCAAGAATCTCCTGCCCAACGTCCAACATCCGGGCTCTTCAGAGTATGCAGACTCCACAAAAATGATGCAGACTCCATCCAAAACCACAGCCAAGAACTCACGTTTTTTCCAACATTCTGACATATAACATTACTTGGTGCAAATGAATTACTAGATATTAAAGTAACAATAATTCTTTATTGATTCCTACTGGGGGAGATTTGACTTTTAATAACACGTGTAGTAATCGAATTTCAAGTGGTCATCTATTCAATGGTCTGGATTAGGTTGCATGGACTGGTGGGTAAATCTGTCAAATCAAGCCCGCAGCATTTATCAGGAGCTCAGAGTCGGTCCTGGGAGTCACTACATCTCTTTCTACAGGAACCGTAGCTGCAAAAACACGCCTTTGTTTTCTGGGCAACACCAGCAGCTGCTTCCTCCCAGAGCAGATGGAACTGCGTGGAGTACCCCGAAAGAAAACACCGAGTTTAATCTCTGTTATTCTAGGTCTAGAAAGTCAGTTAACCTTATTCACTGCTCTGTTTGTTTTTGATATAAATTTTCTCAAAAAAAAAAATACCCACCACTAATCTGAGAACAGAGTCTGCATGCGCACTGCTGAATGCTTTTAGAGCGACCAAATATGCAATGGTTGCAGAGAGGGGGAGGACTGAGACATAATGAAACTATTCTCAATGAGACCACGTATGGTGAAGCACAAGAGGAAATAAGCGTTTTTGTGAAGGACACAGCGTTAGCTGGTTTCAGATGAACCTTCTCAGCAGGACAGACAGAGGCCGCATGGCTGCTGTGAGGGCCGCATGGCTGCTGTGAGGCCGCATGGCTGCTGTGAGGGCCGCATGGCTGCTGTGAGGCCGCATGGCTGCTGTGAGGGCCGCATGGCTGCTGTGAGGGCCGCATGGCTGCTGTGAGGCCGCATGGCTGCTGTGAGGCCGCAGGAGTGAGCCGGGACGCCTGTGTAGTACTTATGCTGCCACACTTCCAGCAGGACAGCTCACTTATTCACTGCCCTTAGCATACGAGACAATGGGGCCAGTGTCAAGGCCATCGAGGAAAGAGGGCCTAGTTCCACCACTGGAATTAATAAAATTAAAAATAAGCACTACCATTACTACATGAGTACGGCCATTGTGCGCCTGATCTGCTGGACAATAGAATTCAGTCCTGACAGTCTGTAATAAGACGAAGACCTAGCTCAATCAGAGACTTAAATCAAACTATTACTATTTCTGTAGCATCCACTTATCTGGTCAAAGCTAATCCAAGATGCAAGGAGGACAACGCCACGCCCATCTCTTATCTTGCCACTGGAACCATGTGCTTCACTATACTATCATCAACATTGTTATTTAAATGCCAGCTTGTCTTTGCTAGATTGCTAGTATCACTATATGTTGACATTTGTATAGAAAGTTGCCCTTTTGTTCTGTCATTTGTATGACGAGGGGTCATCCGCCAGACGTTAGCTTCCCATTGCATTGTGGTACAGATCGAGCTTCATGGTGTACATCATCTGCTCACTGTAATTTGCAGTGATTTGTGGGTATTTTACACTGCATTATATAGTCAGTTGGAACTTATCTTACAAACAGCAGTACAAAAGGGCAGACTGATTATATTATGCACTCTTTAGGGATATCTCCTCCATACAATCTGATACATACTTAGATCACGCCCCCTTCAATATCCTATGTTCCTGATTGGTGTCATCTAATGATTCTGAGAGAATTGTTTTTTCGCCAAGAACTATTAGGGAGTGATTTTGAATACAATCGTAGTCCTGCTGACCCCACCAACCATAGGCATGAATGCTTGAAGGCTGCTTAATCCATGAGACTGTGGGAAGTAAGAGCCACTGTCATGTAATTAAGACCAAAGTAATTTTGTTTCCCCCTAAGAACCTGAGTCTGACAACAGGGCCCAGAAATCACTTTACGTACAAAACATATTGCAGGTCATCACAGAACCAACACAGTTGGGTCAAATACAGTTAGGAGAGAACTGCACTAATGCACTGCTGATGACAGGACCATGAAAGCCACAGTGACAAGCCAGAGTCACGGCTTCTTATTCTTTTTACACTGAGTAAGTGCAATGAGCAGCAAGAGTCAGGTGTGCAGGCTGGGTAGCTATGGCAACCATCACCACACTTTCTCCACGTTCATCTAGGGCATGACAAATGCAACGAGGGGGAGGGACACTGAGGCAAATGAGCCTGAAATTTAAATCATGGGAAATTACCAGCATTTACAAAACAATAGGTACCATATTTACAGTGTTTCCAGGTCACGATTAGCATACCATCCATCATGTAATGTGGCACAAAAAATACATATGATTTGAAACAAAAATACACGATATTTAAATATTTAAGTAGAATTTTATAAACACAGTGATATATTTTAATCACAAAATATTTATCTGGATTTTCTCTCACTGGACAGGTGTCCTGCTTGTGAGACAGCAGTAAGAACGATAAAAACTGGGTCATTCTTGGTACTGGCTAGTACTGAGTGTTACTATATACAGAGCCTGTTCTGCTGGACTTTTAGAATCATCTGGTGCTGTCCAGCCCCTCGTCCTAGTTAGCCACAAGATTTTATCTATAGCAAAGATTTCTTTTTCAATGATGCCTGTGTTATTAAATTCAGCTCTCTGTAATTATTTAATTTCTATTTTCATTTTGAATGTTCAGCGAACCAATTCAGATTTTAATTTAAGGGTCGTAACATCCTCCAATATTTAAGAGGCAGTCGATGTCGCTTAGCCATTAAGCCAGTTTAATGTAAAACACTTCTAATTGAAATGTTCTTCCCTGCTTTGGTTAGCCACAGACCATGACAGGTCCCTGGTTTGTATAGACCACACTGAGAAAAGTGAAAAATTCTCGGCCAGTGTTCACCCCAGAATAATCCGGTGACATACAGCATGACGTAACATTCACCACGTAGCTAATTCCCATTCACTCAACTGTCGGTGACTCTCTCTGGAGCCTTAGTAGCTGTGGGTCACGCCTCCCGCTCCCCTTTCCTGCACAGGAAACAGACAGTGAGGATGCTTTCCCTCCATGAACCCTACTCCTCTTCTGGCTCCAGCTGCTTCCTGATTGGCTAAAGTGATTACGCACATTCTGCTTTCACTGAAATCATCGTTAACCTCTCGACGCCCCTTGCCATCAGTGGAATTGTACTGGTTCTACTCTTAGCAGGTCACTTGCCAACAGACACGGCAGGATAACAAGAAAAATGTTACAGGATGTACCGTGATTCACGGACCAATAACTGTGTGAACCATCCAGCAGAACGTTTTTTTTTTTCTTTTTTCCAACCAGTTTCCCCAGGATTATGGTAATGCTGACGGTTTCCAAAAAAATTTTATGGAAACAGTATGGGTAGGACACAGGATTTACGACAACGTCTATGGCAATTAATACCACAAAACCTTAGTTCGAAAAAACGAAAACATCAGAAATACAATATGGAGTTTAAAAGAATCGTTAAAAGTTAAAAGATGTTGTCCTTTATTTCTCATACTTAAGGCTCACATTTTAGTAAAGGTATTGTTTTCTGCCTTTAGGAAGTCATTTTTGAATAATATGGCTCTTAAGCTCATATTTTACTTTCCAACTTAGTTTCCACTGACATATATGAAATTTCAATTTTAAGAAGTTTGATATATGCAGTGGTGCACAAGAAACAAATTTAAGCCAAATGTCTGCAGGTACTGCAGCCAAACACAACTAACTCCAATACTATTTAATTTAGTTAACTGAAGTATCATGTTCTATTCTTCATTCAGAACAAAAGCCTACCAAAAAGCAAAGGTTTTTATCCAATATCATTTTTATTACCATCAATCAGCGATGAACATAAAAGAATGTAAAGCTAAATGAAGGACCAGAATGCAGTTGGGTTTTAGCACCTACATGGCCTGTAAGTAAAAAACGATGATTGGCCATTATGTGGGTAACATGTCTAAATGGTCCTCCTGCTGTCCAAGATCCGCTCGCAGTACATCACACAGCAGGATTGGACAGCAGCACTTCTGACTGTGCCTACCCACCATTAGCACTCCTGGTGTTTCAAAAGACACAGCTGCTCGGCTCGGTATTGATGTAGGAATATTTTCCTGTGCCCCTTTCACGGAAATGCAAGAATTTGACTACTGGTTGTGCCTCTAAACAGTCACTGAGTTGTATAGACAGAGAACAAACAGCCACTCATATTGCTGTCCTGCAACATGTTAACTCTCATGCTTCTCACATCAACTAAAACGATTTTTTCATTTGAAAAACTTGAGAAACTACAGTCTAATCATTTGACATAAAATTTGACAATCTGATCCACTTGATATAATACAGTGGAAACCGTAATGCTGCATGCAGCATTAGCCTCAGGTAGCCAGCCAAAAACAGACAGGTTACCACAAGGCAAAGTAGGCTTATCAAGGTAAAGTAAAAAAAAAAAAATACCGCAGATTTATTTTTCCCATATGTTGTCATGTTTAAAAGACCCAAAATGAAAAACTCTGAGGGGAGTATTTGATGACTATAAGCAAGTTATTTTAACAGTATTTGTAAAGGAATGATTCTATCCCAAAGTTTTTGATCCATATCAAAAATATTTCAAGGTTTAAAAATCCAACTGAATAACTGACCAAAGAATTGGAAAAAAAAAGTTCATTTTTCTTCTTTAACTAAGCAGATAAAACATATTTTATAATATAATAATAATAATGTTTTAGTACATATAAAGGTATAAAATCATACAACATAAAAGCCAATTAAAAAGTAATAGACATCCTGGACCAATCACTGTCCTCCTATTCCCTGTCCAAATGTTCCGTGAATTAATTTTCCATCCCTATGCAAGCCCTTCTCTCCCTCCCCCCCCCCCCCCAGGAGTACCGCCTCCATACAAACCACATCTCTCAGATCTGTGAAGCTGAACAATGTTCCCTTACTGAGCAAACAAGAATGACCAAAGCAGCCATGGGGGTATGTGTATGCGGCAAATTATTCTTTCAAACTTTGGCAAGAGGAAATTCATTCCAGATCCAAAAAGAATGATAGCCATTATATAACCAAATAAAATTATTTTAAGAAATTTGATTTAATCACTGAGATGCATGGACATGAAAATTAGTTCCATTACTATCTGCTGGCATTTTATGAAATATTCAGAGAGACTTGCTGAGTCTGTAAAGGCAAAAAAACCACAAGCTGAAGCAGTACTGAAAACGTGAGCCAAAGCCTGGCCTGGGAGCCGCACAAAGTAGGACAGATTCGAGTTTGTGAGTCACAAACAAAATCAGGCCGAGTGGAGCCTTGCTGGGAGTATGAGAACCGCTCAGTGGAACTTGCAAAGCTAGCATCTGAGCACCAGGTGATGAACATGTATTGTGCAACACAGACATAAAGCTCAGCTTTATCATTTTGAAAGTGCTGCTAAGTTCTCTACATCTTGGTCTAATCATTTCTCCATATGGTTTGTATCTAGCACATGTTCCTGCCCAAGGAGAAGACCTTTATTTTCTTTGGTTAATGTCAGCTATTTGCAAGAAGACAGCACTGTTTATCTGTGCACTTTCTGCATTTAGATTTACTTTGGTGGGCTTTTTCACGGACATCTGTACTATCTAAACAGCTATACAGTTGTCTTCACATGCTAGCACCTCATTTCAGAGAAACTAGGGATTAAAAGACGTTGTGGGACAGATGAGAATGAAGTTGCTCACCTTAGTGAGGTAGTAGACTGACTGTTGGAATGTAAACATAATGACTTCCTCCAGGACAGTCACTGACTCCTCCATAGCTGACCGTGATAGATCAGAATCCACCAGGCCTGAAAGAATCATGAAAACATCACCTATTAAAGTACTCACTGCTAATCATTTGGTCATTTTGATTGGATGAATCAAACGGCTATTTATACCCACAAGATCGCCATTGTATATTTGACAGAAATAATATATTACTGAACTTAAGTATGACTTGTTCTTCTCTAGAGAAGCAGAAGTACAGTATCTCTCACAATGGTACCACTGCTACAGATGCACAGTGTAAATGCAAACGCTGCCTTGTTTCTTTCTTGGAGTGTTATCATCAGGAGGTGAGAGGAGTACCTGTCCTTGTGCCTTAGCGTACCTTCTGGATTCCACGGCAGCAGGCTGGGTACTTCCTGCTGGATGAAGTGAAGCAGCTCGATGGAGTTAGCCATCCACAGCACCAGCGGCTGCAGGCCTGGGATCAGTTCATCCATGGTGGGCAGGCGCACTTCTGCTGACTCTGGCTGCCCATCATTAGCACCCCTGGTGTTTCGAAAGACAGAGCCGTTCGGTATTGAAGTACGTATCACTGACAAAGATAGCACCACCCCCCCCCTCCCCAGATGATCACGATATTCACGTCATTTTAACAAAAAGCCCAATAAAATGATCAAATACAGTTTGTTGGTGGGAGAGGGGTGACAAACAACAATATCGACATATAGTTCGGATTATATAAAACAATTGCTAAAAAGCATTGACTCACACTTCTGGCTGTATCGCTGCAAGCTCTTTGGTCCTTTCCTGCAACGAGCAAATGAAGAGTACCCAATTAAAAGTTTAATAATTGAAAACAGATCCATTGAAAGACACGGATGCAAAAAATGAGGACATATTTTCTCAAGATATTGCAGAAGCCTTTACTCAAAAGAGCCTGAGGACACCTCGGGTAAAAGGTAAAACAGTGGTGCTGGAAGCTTACCCACATAGCGACTTGCACTTGGCTTGCGATCCGGAGGAGAAGGCGGCGCAGTTCTGCTGTCTGGCACCGAGTGGCCGAATGCTGAATGCACAGGCAGAGCAGGAATGCCGGAGTCAGCTTGGGCTCGGCGCTCTGGGGATCCGCCATAGCGATAATCTCCTGAAGGATACGATCTTCCAGTTCCAGCGGATACTGCAAGACGAGATCTCGGCCATCTGTGTCCTGGAGGCTGGGAGGGGTATTCTCCGACCCCGGTAGCCTCTTTTGGGTCTCGGTGAGACAGGAGCCACATGTGTGACAGAGGACCGACTCCGTCCGGGCACAGCGGGGCTTGCTTAACCAGAGGCGTGTTTGGCATTCTGGAGCGGCTATTGGGTCCTTAAACATGAAGATATAGTGACTTCCCAGATGGATCAGGTCACCAGATTGGAGCTCAACCTCATCTTTTAGAAGGATGCCATTGCGCTTGATGAGGGCACCATGGAAAGGACTCAGCACTGTGATGGCCTTCCTCCTGTCCTCCAGGCCGGAGACCTCCACACGCCTTACGCAGCAGTGCTGGGGCTGGATGTCTGGTGCCACAAGGTGAACATCCACGTTTGGTCTTTCCACTTCTTCACCTGTCGAGTAGTCACTGCATCGGCCAAAGGTGGTACCCGACCCACTGATCAGATAGATGAGAAAATCCTGGAAGGAACACAGTCATTTCAATGTTTCTGCTGGGAACGCTTCTCCATGGCAGCCAACGGCACAAAAATATCTAACCAGCTACTCAATCATCTAATCCAACACTTTAGTGACTTACTCAGGAAACAACCTTCTTGCCCAACCCCCCAAGCACGTGTTACAGAATTCAGTCGGTCAACGGCACTTATAGGCTATATTACGTTATCATTTAGCAGACGCTCTTATAAAGCTCTAATATAATGAGCTTACTCATTTTCCAAGGAAAAGAAAAACAGACAAGGTGGGCAAACAGAGCAGGCATTTAGCTAGGTGGGGGGCGACGACACATCTCTCCCCTCGCTCTGTTATACCCTATTCACACGCAAACTGAAATCCGCTAATATCGCTATTTTACCGTTAATGTGTCGTGTCGGAATGGGAGCAAAACGGCAAAGTGTGCCCATTAATCTACCCCATGGCAACCTAGTAACATTAGTGGTAACTGTCACTGAAAAATAAATAGCCTATATTAATTCATATAATTACTAAATGTTCGTTACCATACCTACAATAATGGTCTGTTGTCTGCATTTTTTCCCCATAGTACCGCCCCCACCCCGGTCACATTGCCCCCATGCCAAACCTTTTGATCCACAGGAAACACAGCATTTTATTATTAAATTTGACAGTGTTCATGAAAGCTTCCTAGACCTGGAAGAAGCGTCCAAGAAAAACCACGAAACGTCTCACAGGAGCTCAGAAATTCAGGAGGTGATTAAAATGTTTTAATCCACAAATTCAATATGACACAAATCAAATAAAGCAATTAAAATCCGATATTTAAACTCAAAATATGGCTGAGCTGTAAAGAGATTTACAGGAATATGACACTAATCATAGTTTGACTAAATTATGGAATTCAGTACTGAGTGCCAAGGACCCAACCAGTAAGGCAAATTATGACCAACCTCCTCCATGATGCCAGTCATTTTTTTACTAGTCCAAGCCGAAGGCATTACTATTCTCTTTAATTTTGTCCATTGTTTTTTTTTTGATATTATACTAAATATAAAGCAAAGAGTTCTCATTACTATTAAAACATCCCTTAAATATAATATATGTTTTCCTCTTCAGTTCTCCACGTGACTTCTCCACACTCCATTTGGAAAGCAGTTGGACTGTCCAGAGAACACAAAACCATAAATTGTTGAGGTCACGTGGATCTGTAACTTTATCAACAAACACGATGTGGCTGCAGTTGACATGTGGTTGATATATAATATCTCTGGGTGAATTTAGTCAAACAATAGCAGGCCAATCGGTTCTCTGCAAAGAGAGAATGAATTCACAGAATATACAGAGTTGACAAAATAACAGAAGCATATAAAAAAGGAATTCAACTTGAAGTAACTAAATCACAATTACAAATGCAGCTAAAAAGGTCAGTCACTTCACAATAATTGCCAGTATGTGTCAGTTATAAAAGAGGTCTGACAATTAGAACTATGACGTGTCAATTTTCAAACTAACATGAGGCAACTCATGTTAAAAAAGTCATTACCTGAATTCCAGGGGCATCAGTCACAAAAACTCTCAAAAATTATAACAGCGTATCTAAAACATGGACAAACTGCATCAGCAAAGAACAACTGTTGCCTGACTGATAGGAACCCATGGACACTTAACAGGATAGTTTCTAAGCACCACACAAATACAGCAGCAAGTGAATCAGCACGTTTGTGACACAGTCTCAACAAAAACTACTTTGTAAACTTCACAAAGGTGCAATTTACAGCAGAGCTGCCATTCAGAAAGCTTTTGTATGCAGGGCCAATACACAAAGACTCCTGCACCCCTGCATTATAAGGAAACAATATGGTTTGATGAGTCATCAACCTTTTCCCTACATGTTGTCTATGTCTGGAGAAAGTCAAAGGATGCCTTCAAAGCAAAATGCCAATTGTCAGCTCTTAAATATGGTGGGGAATCCCTGATAGTAATGGCGGTCTTCATGCTCTGCATGGTCATATAATGGCCAAGAAGTAAGAGGTCATTCAGGACCAGGTGCATGCAATCGGTGCAAAGACTGTCCCCTCGTTATGTCCGCATACTTCAAGGTGATAATACTTCCACATACACCGCTAAACATATTCCAGGGTGGTCTCAGAAACACCAGTATGAATTTAAATCCTTTAAATTAGTTCCCAAAACGCAGCAGCATTTAACATTTATGGGATGTCCTGGAGTGCATATGCACCTGCTTCATCGCTCAAAGAACGAGAGGCCATTATTCATGAAGAATCATCCGCTGTCCTACTACGGCAACTTCAGAATAGCGTTCCAAGAAAGACAGCCGCTATTAGGCAAGAAGTGCCCCTACTCTTTGATATTAATACCTATGTGTTTCTCTTATTTTGTCCACCGCCCCTGTATATTTGAGTTCTGAAGAATATATTTATTCAAAGTTTACATTCAACAATGAAACAAGAAAATTATTCACGTCTTATATGAGAAAACACAAGAATACCTATTTTCCAATACAGTTCTGTAATTTTTGGTAATATTTAATAAACTCACCTATGCTGCTCTATAAACACACAAACCCACCAGAAGCTACTTTTAACCTAACTGATACTTCTAGACCCATTTTTAAAATTACATTCCAGATTTTTATCCTAAAACATTTGGATTCTCTGCAGGAAATTACCTAATGCTACACAACTAACCATTTTTAAAACCACTTTATATTCACCATCCTCATTGGGGATCCTCATTCTCGCTGATTCACTGATCACTGATTCAGCTGCATTCTGACCAAGTTAAAGTATCCTGTTCTGCTCATTCCCAGTTACCCCACAGCTCCAGGCTAGGGGGCCAGCACCTGCTGCTGGGAGGGTATATAGCCCACATCCTGAGGCCCAAACAATAAGACGGACGGAAGATTAATATTGCTCTGTGCTTCTGTCAGTCATCAAACCAGAAAAGACAGTCATTATGTTTTATTAAAGTAAGCCCCAACTATTTTGTCATTAGTCATCCGACCCATCACTGAAGCCTCTGTTAGACCCTGTGAGTTGTAAAACTCAGCAGAGAGTGGATGTTTGGGGGACAGAACTAAAAAAAAGGAAAAAGAAATCTGGAAGGTGGATTAAGAAACAAAATCACGGCGAGTTTTGTATTACACAGGATATTACAGGTTTACAGAAAACCTAGTCAGGACCAAATTGTCAGTGTTCAGCATTATATATTTACAGTACATCAGGCCTACTGTAACATTTCCCTTGTTTTTTTTCTTAGCATTTAAATCTATAATATCGCTGTTGTGTATATGACGCCGATAAGACCGGATCCGGGGTGACAGCTTGTTAAAGCAAAGCACAAAGCCACATGGCTGCATGTGACAAGCCGCTGATATGACTGCGGGTGTCTCACACCTGTCAGCTCCGCTTCAGCTGGAGTCAGTCAGAGACCCGCTAATCTGTCAGGAAGGCCCGACGGGTTTTTCTATTCCCCTAATCACAGCGCTTGGCTTTCGTCCGGCCAAGCGGTCCCCTTCAAGCCTCTCTCTCTCCTTTAATCCCATCCCAAAATATAAAACACCAAGCCTTTGAAGTTCAAATGCATTATTTATATTTAGTACAGCTCGCGTTTTGTTTTCACTTAGGGCCGCCAAGAATGAATAATCATTTCATCCGCAAGCAGCCCCATGCAAGCAGAACGTAAATGAGTAGACATTGTAGTGGATGGTTACTTATGAAAAGGAAACATTTGCTGTAAATCTCAATGCTGGCAGTCAGATGGTAATTATAGCTATAGGTCTTGGTCTTGAGCACCATGCTAGAACCTTCTACTGCTGCTAGTCTCTGACCGGAAGGTATTGGGATTTACTCCACCACACTGCATCCGATCCTCTTCACTCTCTCTGCCGTTTATAAACCTTCGCAATGCTTGTAAATCTTTACCAGGCAAAGAGATCGGTGTGCACTTCTAAAGCCGCGTTCCCCCCCCCCCCGGGGAAATGAGCCTCAGAGAAAGTGAGCTCCGGGTTACCTACTGCGCCAGGATCAGGAGTGAGGGGGTGTGGAAGGTGCAGGGGAGCAGGTGGAGACTCAGCCTACCTGGCTGTAGCTGTAGCCCTCCAGGAGCAGGAAGTAGGGGAAGTCGAACGGCGGGTGGATGGAGTACTGCGTGCCGTTGTCATCGCTGCTTTCCGTGTCCTCCTTCTCCGCGCCCGGACAGCAGGTCTCCTTGTCGGCCTCGGACTCCACGCGGCCCCTGGCCAGGGTCCCGCACTCCCAGACCGCCTCCTCGCCTTCAGCGGGCAGGTCCATCTCGCTCAGGCTCCTCCACAAGCCTGGGCTGCGATCCGCATCGCTGCCGCCGTCACCACCGACGCCCCTGCGTCCTCTACTGCCGAAGGCAGAAGCCACCCGGGATCGGATCTTCTGCAGCTTACGCGCCTGGGCGTTTATGCCTGCGGAGGTAGAGTGGAGGAAATGATGAGAGGGAAGTCAGTAACGTGCTGTCTGAAGAGCAAGGAATGACAGGAGTCTGTATACTCTGCCTCTATACATCTCAGGTAAAGATCAATGTAGGCTACCAACAGAGAGGAAAGCCAGAAAATGCAGATTTGTACAGAGGAACAAATGCCAAGGCTCTTTACATTCAGACTTGTGTACGTTTCATGTAAAGATCCCAGTACTAATAGAGAGAGGAAAGTCAAAGAATGTGGTTCATAGAGGGAAAAAAATGCTATGGATGCTTGAATTTATATTTCTATACTTTTTAGGTAAAGATTCAAGTACTGCCATCCATTCAAGCTATTTCTGTTCAAGAGAATGTGAGGAGGAGGAATGGGGAAAAATACCCAGCTAAGCTGTTTGACTGTACTCTTTAAGTATGTTTAGTAAACAAAAACTTGTTTAGGATATGAAGCACACATTTGCTTTGTCTGTCGTCATTCTGAGAAAAAATCCATCACTCTCCTGTTAAGAGACATCACAACAGACTTCGGCTAAAGATCACGGTCAGCTGTGGAAATGGGAAGATTTTTTTTTTCAAGCTGTTCTGCCGAAAACATTATAAAGCGTGAGTTCAGTGGGACAGGTCCCTGGTGTGGAGGAGATAAACCTTGGTATGCCAAAGTCAGCGTTAAAGAGATCTAACAGAAAGGAAAAACACGGCATTAATTAACACGCGCAGAGACCCAGAACAGGTAACCAGAGTGAGCTCAGCCTGGGGAGATCACAGAGAAACACAATCGCGACGCCGGGGGTCTCACGCTCCGGCCGCTAACACAAACAGGATTCACGCTGTCACTCTTTCCGTTTGTATTTTCTTTCGCCTACTCCCCAGCGTTTCTCACGGCGCTTCATGGACGTGGCGCCCTGCCAGGCCCGAAATTTACTCTGCCGTGGATGCCACATCATGGGCTTGGCTGTTTAACGAGTAGCTATTATGATACCGTTAAAACAGCAGGGCACAGACGTCACAATGCCAAAGCCGATCTGCGCTTCACGTAGCTTCCTGCAGACGGTAATACAGCTGAACAAATACACCGCTGCCAGTGTTCCACTGGTAAAGGGCCGCTTATCATGCTCTGGATCAGCACATTATTTTTAAATGACTAGATAAAGCCGCTGGTCTCTGCAGCTCTCAGAAGGATGCCAGTGCGTTAGATCATCCACCATAACCGATTAACAGGGCTCTGCGCAGGCCTGGCTGCTCTTCTTACAAACGCTGCCCTTTGACAGCATTATCGGCAAGCAATGCAGATGAGAGCTGTCAGTGCTGTTCTTGCCCAACAGGACAGAGCTGAACGTATAATAGTTATTCAAACCACAAGCCATAAATGGAAACACATAAATGCATTTTAGTGATCTTGTTTTCCATTACTCAACCCACTGACTGCTTTATTCACTAGATTGGCTGAAGAATGATTAAGGGCAGAAAAGCCTTAAATTAAGCTGTTTCATGGAATAATCAACTTTTTCTGAAACTATAACGTAAGAATAAACAATGTCTTACAATATATAAAAAATCTTTACATTAAAATGGTCTACACACTTTTTACTTAGCTTTAAATATTATACTTTAAATGCAAGCCTGTAAAACAAAACATTCAATTCAATACTAAAAAAATACATTTAAATTTATTATAAAAATAAATAATAAAATGGTTACAAAATGCCTCTGATTCTCTGGACTAGCCAGGCTCTGCTCTCTAACTCTGAGTCTTCATTAAGCCTTTGACAGACAAAAGCGCTAGGGGCAGATGTGCAGAGACACCTGCCTCACAGCATTAGCCAGTGACAAGATATGAGGTCCTCATTCTGTGTTCTGCTTCCAATTCCCATTGCAATGTCCCGCAGCCTCATTCTGTGTTCTGCCTCCAGTTTCCATTGCAATGTCCCGCAGCCTCATTCTGTGTTCTGCCTCCAATTCCCATTGCAATGTCCCGCAGCCTCATTCTGTGTTCTGCCTCCAGTTTCCATTGCAATGTCCCGCTGCTTCATTCTGTGTTCTGCCTCCAATTCCCATTGCAATGCCCCGCAGCCTCATTCTGTGTTCTACTTCCAGTTTCCATTGCAATGCCCTGCAGCCTCATTCTGTGTTCTGCTTCCAGTTTCCATTGCAATGCCCTGCAGCCTCATTCTGTGTTCTGCCTCCAGTTTCCATTGCAATGCCCTGCAGCCTCATTCTGTGCTCTTCCTCCAGTTTCCATTGCAATGTCCCGCTGCTTCATTCTATGTTCTGCCTCCAATTCCCATTGCAATGTCCCGCTGCTTCATTCTGTGTTCTGCCTCCAGTTTCCATTGCAATGTCCCACTGCTTCATTCTGTGTTCTGCCTCCAATTCCCATTGCAATGCCCCACAGCTTCATTCTGTGTTCTGCTTCCAGTTTCCATTGCAATGCCCTGCAGCCTCATTCTGTGTTCTGCCTCCAGTTTCCATTGCAATGTCCCACTGCTTCATTCTGTGTTCTGCCTCCAATTCCCATTGCAATGCCCCGCAGCTTCATTCTGTGTTCTGCCTCCAGTTTCCATTGCAATGCCCTACCTCTAACAGCTTCAGCAATTAATTAATCCATCCCATAATCACCATCCGTCACAAACTACCCCAGTGATCATTACATTCATGGATTTTCCAAACAGAACTAGTCTAATGTACTTTAACAAATTAGCATCTTCTCTGATTCTTTATCATCTTATCCTGAAATATTTTTTCAATATTAATAATACTGCTGTTTTTAGTTCTCTGTAAAGCATAATGTTTACTCTAAAATCTTTGAAAGCATGCATGAAAGTACTCTGTACTTAACAAGCTGGGGTCAGCAGGGCCGCATAGCGTAACGAGATCCATCCATCCATCCATTTTCTATACTTGCTTGTCCTATACAGGGTTGCAGGGATTCGGTGCTCATCCCAGAAACTACAGGCGCAAGGCAGGAATAATCCAGGACAGGGCGCCAACGCATTGCTGTATGTAACAAGATATTCAGTTAAATATAACATAGAGCCGTGCCTGCTGTGATGGTGTCCACCTCCTTCGCGTCGCGCTCCTCCACGGCGGCCCGCCTCTGGATCTCGAAACGCCGGGAATAGCCCTCCTTAGGTTTCCACAGTGACTGCAGCATAAGTGGCTTCTCGTTGTCGCCCACCACCCGCGAGCACTCCGTCTTCCACTGCCGATCTGTGCCCACATGCCCGATGACGTCACACAGCACGTAGTCCCCAGCGGCGGCCTTGTCCAGACAGTACCTGGGCACAGAGTGGGAGGTTGGTACTGATAAGCATGGTGTATGATGCTGTGGGTTAAGACTTCGTGCCTGTAATTGGAAGGTTGCAGGTTCAAATCCCATGGCTAGCTAGAGTTGTAACATTACTGAGCCCAGGAACAATGCCCTTAAGACCAATTGCTCCATACATTGTCTAACCCTGCCCTCGCAAACACATGCTGCTTTTGATGAACACGTCAGGGGGGTATTCCAGAAAGCAGGTTATGTGACATACCCGGGTAAGTTTAAGGGTAAGTTAGTGGATAACCTCAACTTTCGGTTCCAAAAACGGGGGTAATTTTCTGGGTATGTACGTAACCATAGCAGCTTACTCTCTGAATATAACCTGCTCGGTAGCAGGTTATGTTCCAGGGTCAGTTTGTTGCAGAAGGTTACTGAGCATGGCGTGCCCTTTTGATGACGATCCTGTGGACGTGGAGGCACAAATTATACAAGGTTTTTTTTCGCCGGGAGACAGTTATAAGACCGCATATTGATGTCTTTTAATTTCCTAATGATTATTTGAAAAAGCATTATCAGTTTTCGAAAGAATCGTTAATTTACTTAACATCTCTTGAAACCGCATATTGCAAATGTCACAAACCCAAACCGCGGGTCTGTGCTTAGCACAGAAAACAT